ATATATATATATATATGCACAAATGTGTGAACCAGAATATATGCTTAACGAGACCGTTAACTATAATAAATAAAGTTCCATTCATTTGAAATCAAAAATTTACGCTTCCTTTGGTATTTATTTTACTTTAAAAAATAATAGAATAAATATGACAGCTGCAAAGAGTTGAAACTACTTCAACTTTAAATCTTTTTGATGTACATTATAATAAATGTGATATATACACTTTAACAGTTTATTTTTTTATTCATTTTTGTTTTATATTATCAATTACTGATTGATACAGATATTTACTGTGAGCTTTTAAATCTGCTGAAAAATACACTTTCATATTTTTTGTTTGAAGTGTTTATAATAATTTTTTAATTATCTTGAATATTTTACAATTCAGCAAACATGAAAAAATTAACTAGCATCTTAAAATTTTTAATATTATAGAATATTAAAATATTTTTATTTATAAAACCTTAATTAAAAATAGTGTAAGACGAAAAAATTTTATCATTTTATTTGCTAATTTATTTTATCATAAAAATAAATAAGTGTTGCAAAATGGTAGGGATTAATATTAATATGCAACCCCACAAAAATAGGCAAAAATGTTTCTCATTTCAATTTTTTAAATGTATTAAAGTGCACCTGTGTAAAGAAGCTTGATATGATTAAAGCTATTTTATACAACATTTTATTATAGGTGTATTTTAGAAATATTTTCAGCGTGTTTCATTATTTTAGTTCTTTTAATAATTAAAATAACATTTATTTTCTCTCTTTCATGTACATATAAAGTGATAATTTGTTAAATTTGACTACATTGTCGTTGTATAAAAATTAAAGGAATCTCTGACAACATTTTTATGCGTGTATATAAAAGTTTATTTTTTTTTAGTAAATTTTATTTTTATACAACGTTGCTTAGAAATATAATGAACAAATATAGAAAGGTTGTGTTATATTATTCTTCATGTCACATTCGTTTTAAATAATTTAAATTATTTTTAATTATGTATTCTTTTTTACATGGGATATTTTATAATTTACACTTCGTTTAATATATATATATATATTTTTTTTAATTTATTATAATTTAACATATTTTATGTATATATTTAACTAAAATAAAAAATATTTTTAGAAATTATTAATAAATAAAAATATTAAAGCGAAGATTAACAATAAATCCAAGGAATTGCTTCGTGTTTTAAAGCAAAAATAAAATATAGATTTATGTTAAATTACTAAGTTTGCTTTCTTGCGCCTTTAAAATATATACCAGATGAGTGGAAAAATAATTAAAAGCTTTTTCATTGAACTTGTTACTTGGATCTTTGTAGTGATAATTTGTTTTTATGAGGCAAGAAAACAATTAAGTTTATGATTTACATTTTTTTACATATTTATTTGAATGTGCAAAATTTTAATGTATAATTCTAAATCAATACAAGAGGTAAGCATTTCTAATAAAATTCTTTACACGCAACTTCATTTTTAGGCATCTAGCTTCTGTAAACAACTTAGTGAAGAATGCGTTCAAAACAACACTTTGTTAAATGTTAGAGTTGGTAGACTGTTATTCGGAGAAATAAATGTACAGGAAGAAACAAAAAATTCTTCTTTAAAAGGAAGAATTGTAAGCATACTAGAAAAAGATGACAATGAATTTTCTAAACACTTAAATACTTTAATTCGTGATGAGGATTTTCGAAACAAATTAAAATCTTTAACACATGATGATAATGCACAAAATGTACTTAATTCCTTAATGCGTTGTGATAGTGCTGAAAAAGTAGATAAGTTCGAAAGCTTTGAAGAAAATATCCAAAACTCATTAAATTCATTGAAATCACTTGATGGAAAAGACAGCATATTTGGTGATTTAGAATTTTGTAATTCTAATGAAAGTATCGACAAAATTGCAAAGGACAATGATTCCATCAGTGAACTTGATATCATAAAACATGAAAAAAAAATTATAAAAGCGGATGCTATGAAAAAAGAAAGGCAACTAGATAATTTGAAATATAATTATAAACAAAATATATATGGGAAATCAGAGAATCGTGGACTTTTAAAAAAAATTGATAAAATAATTGAAAGAGATATTTTAAAATTGATGCAAAGTAATTGTGATGATAATGCAAATGACTGCATTAAACCATTGGTTTCATTTAGTGAATTACTGAGTGATTTAAAAAAATATAGAATATTTGTACCACTTTTTATTTTAGCAGGAATCGCTATCCTACTAACACCACCATTATTATTTGCTAATCTTACGGGGGCCACCATAGCGTATCCTTTTTTTTATTTTATAATATACAATGGATCATTATTCTCATCTTTTGCTTTGGGTTTATACTACCAGTTGAAATTTAAAAAATGCAATAAAATTATAAAAAAATTAAAAAAAATTAAGTAATTTCATAATTAAAAAAAAAAAAAAAAAAATACGCAACCGCACATAGTACTTTTATAGATTTCTAAATTTTGTGTTGTAATATTAATATACACTTGTTGTAGTATATATTCAAGGGGAGAATAATATGCATACATACATACACACACACATACTTATATACATCATATATTTATTTCATCTATTTTTCTTAAGAACAAAAATTCTTTGCTCGTATATTTTTATATTTCCTGATTACATTTTTATCATTTGCACTTTAACATTCTATTTAAATTAATACGCGTAATTTATATCTGAAAAATATTCTTTAAAACAAAATTTCTATTTGCTTCTGACATGTTTTCATAAAATGAGTTTGTTGATTCTTGTATTGATTTTAATTCGTTGCATACCAAGCTTAGATTTCATTTAATAATATCTTTTTCTTTTTGTCTTCATTAAAATTTTAAAAGAATTTTTAAGAAAAATAATTAACATAAAGTATGCCATTTTGTTTAACGCTTTTCTAATAAAAAAATGATTTTCCTGCTATGAAAACATTATAAGCATTGATGCTTCTTTGGAAAATCGTTTTTTAGAATTCTTTTAGCATAAAATGATTATATTAAATTTTTTTTGACGTTCATGGAAATGTGTAATATGTTCAATATGCACAAGGAGTATTCACGTTTATTTTTGAACAAAAAAATAGGTAGTTCTGCTTTAAAAGTGTTAATAATATATTTATAATTATGCATTATTTTTTTGCTCTATAAGCAAAAATGTGGATCTAACATGATAAATTTACGTGATATTATAAAATTGTTATATATTAAAATGTAAATGTAATTGTCTTATTTATGTAACAATACTGTAAATAAAAAAGTAAAAACTTATGCGCAAGCGCCCGCATACTACTATGTTAAAACTTTTGAACAAACGTTTTATATATTTACAGTTACATGATTCTTATTAAATGATTATTAACTTGAATATTAAAGGATGTAGTTCTATATACACTTCTATATTTCACCCTAATTTAATTATTTTTCTTATTTCA